CCTGTATCTACTGTGTTCAATTTCCAACTATTTTCCACTTGTAGTGTAGAAATATAATATTAACATGGTGGAGCATTTTTTTAAAGCCGTGAATGAAATTGTCACCAAACATTCATTACAGGTGAATCAATCACTGTAATTTAACATATACAGTACACCAGGAAAACACACCTGCAGTGAATGTTTGGTAAATGTCACATTTATTGCTTTTTAAATATACTTTTACGCTTTAGTTTACAGTCCTGTTGATCTAAGCAAGGCATCTTAAAGCGATACTAAATTTGGGAGTTAAATCTTAAAAATGCGTTGAAGTATCTTAACTGTTAAGAAAAATGTATCTTCTTTGTGTATCATTCGGCTGTAGATCCTGAAATCATCTCTGAATTCATGCTTAAACTGTCCTTCCTTCTGGAGGGTGGCTACTTTTATTCCCGATGGTCCCTGTGTGTATTGTAAAGTAGTCACCACTCCAAGCTCACTCCAGTGATAGACTACAGTCTCAATACAGATTAGTAAATTAAACCTGACCATAAACACACACAGGGACCATGGGGAACAAAAGTAGCCACCCTCCAGAAGGAAGGACAGTGTCAGCACCAATTCAAATATGATTTAGGCTCTGTTCAAACATTAGCGATTGTGCGCTGAAACGCGCTAAACATAAAAAACAATGCAATCAAATGTATATTGCTCACACTTGCACGACATCCGCGCTGTACGAAAATGTGTGTCGCGCATAAAAGTCTAATTGCAATGTTCTGGGTGGATCCTGCACGTTTCGGCTATAGTAATACTAACGTGTGTAATCCGCGCGCATGTTAAAATGTGCACAATTTCATGCCATGCTGTTTTCCGCTCGGTTTTAATGCAATATGTGAATGGAGCCTTAAGGATCTATCGCTGAGTGATACACAAATAACATACATATTTGTTAATAGTTAAGGTACTTGAATGCATTTTAAGATTTAACTCCTCAGTTTATTGTCAGGTTTTTTTCTATTTTACTGTGTTTATGTGTAAAAGACCTTAACAATTCAATTAGCTATATTCAATTTTCATGGAAATTATTATACATTTTCTCATTACTGACAAACAAACCTGTCACGTGATAGAGGGTGAATTGTCTTCATTTGTAAATTTGATTTGGCTAGGAAAGTGTGTCAGGCCAATTATGCCTCTGTCTGCCAGATTCTGTTGGTGGATTGTCACACAATTAATGTTTTCCTTGAATGGCGTACACTAATAATGCCTATCCTTTGAATATACAGCTCCATAAATAAATGTTTTTGTTAACTTTTTATGATAGACAGATAGACAGACAGATAGATAGATAGATAGATAGATAGATAGATAGATAGATAGATAGATAGATAGATAGATAGATAGATAGATAGATGATAGTGTGTTTGTGGCGATTTTGAACAATAATGATAGCAGCGTGAAAAATATAAAAAAACAAATATATGAGTATAATTGTCATTACTCATATTACCATTACAGCTAATTGAAGGGTATGAGGGAAGCTCATGAGTGAAAAATAACAGCTTCACAAACAGCCGCATTTCTTATCAACTCTTAAGACAGATCAGTCACAAGGGGGTTACAGAAATGTTTAGGTTTTCGGTAAACTGTAGGGATTTTTAGTGTGACTTTGGCTGGAAAAGACATTTATCTGGGAGCATAAAAAGCAAAAAGTCACAAAGTTACTTAAACATGTACATATTAAGTTTGTGGTGTGTTAAGAGAATAAATAGCTGAATAGATGCCGCTTGTTTGCTGTAATTTTTCTTCTTAATATTGTTATTTCTATGCAGATAGCACCAACATCTGTACAATGTGAGGACACAGAGAGGCTAACACCAATAGCATTTTAAAATATGCAAGAACATTAGTGTGAGAATAAAGCCTTTCAATGATGCATTGTAGAGGTCATATATTCTTGAATTAGACAAACTAGAAGGCAATTCTTTCACAGAATGATATACCCATGGGAAAATATCTAAGTATTCTCATTCATTTTTCATACCGTATTTTATTATATGCAGATAACTGAAACAAACATAGTAAATAACAAAGCAGGTTACACATTTGAGAGTATGGAGTTCTACAAATGACGCTTTGCATTCTGTAAATTAGGAAGACTAGATACCTAGAAATATTTTGCAGTTGGTAAAGTTACAATCTACCTCATTTATCAAAATAAAAATTAGAAATTGCCTATGTTATCTTATAGTATCCAATAACAATCAAAAATACACTGAAAGTTACCACTGATTTTGAAGGTTTTAATGTTAGTAGCTGTTATAAGGGAATAGAGTGTTCTTATTTAAACACTTTGAAAAAAAAGACCATTTGAGTCAGTGATTGTGTCAGCTTTAATTGTCCTCTTCACAAAGAACAATTGCATTTTTTTTTGTCAAATCCAAAGGAGTCTGTGTTGCTCTTACCAGCCAATCAGATATCAACTTTTATTTTCTTAAAGCAGCAAGAAAAGATATTTCCTATTGCTTTTGAGCAGTCACATTTTTATATCAACAGTTAAGATGAAGAAGGGTAAATGAAAGATCATAGAGCTCAATGACAAATTAAAATGAGTCTAAGGGGTTGATTTACTAACCTTATAAACACACCACGAACATGTATACACCTCTGTAGTGTGTTCCCTCCAAGCATGATCTATGGGTGGAATCTAAACACCTTTGTAGTGTGTACACACCCAGCAGGTGTGTCGTGCAAAGCCAAGCATGAATTGCAAGGTGATGTTGTGTAAATTAGCTCTATGTCATGTTGCTTGCGTTGATGAATGCAGGAATGTAAATGCATGAGCTAACCATTTTTGTCTAAACTGTGAAGCAGCATTATATATGCATCATGTGCATGATTTTTCCATATATGGCATTAGTGGAAATATGCTTTTAGAGACTTTTTGGTTGATAAATACGTTTTGCTGTGTGAAAATCACACGCACCTATTTTTTGTCAAATCCAAAGGAGTCTGTGTTGCTCTTACCAGCCAATCAGATATCAACTTTTATTTTCTTAAAGCAGCAAGAAAAGATATTTCCTATTGCTTTTGAGCAGTCACATTTTTATATCAACAGTTAAGATGAAGAAGGGTAAATGAAAGATCATAGAGCTCAATGACAAATTAAAATGAGTCTAAGGGGTTGATTTACTAACCTTATAAACACACCACGAACATGTATACACCTCTGTAGTGTGTTCCCTCCAAGCATGATCTATGGGTGGAATCTAAACACCTTTGTAGTGTGTACACACCCAGCAGGTGTGTCGTGCAAAGCCAAGCATGAATTGCAAGGTGATGTTGTGTAAATTAGCTCTATGTCATGTTGCTTGCGTTGATGAATGCAGGAATGTAAATGCATGAGCTAACCATTTTTGTCTAAACTGTGAAGCAGCATTATATATGCATCATGTGCATGATTTTTCCATATATGGCATTAGTGGAAATATGCTTTTAGAGACTTTTTGGTTGATAAATACGTTTTGCTGTGTGAAAATCACACGCACCTGGTGCGTGCGTGTGTTTAGGTTAGTAAATCACCCCCTAAAACTCATGAAGTCATTCCACATTGTATCTGTTATGATTACTGTTAGTTGTCATCCATTCAAAATAAACATATTGTAAGTAGTGTAGGGCATATACTATCTGATTGGCTTGTTTATAAAAGTACAAGTGTTATCCTTCAGCTAAATCATTTTTATATTTCTAGGGCTCTTTCACACAGACACCTGTCAGTTACGATCACAGGGGATTTGTGCACAGATCCCCTGTTGATTGGATCAGTTCAGACTGCATGTCACCGTTCTGACATCTAATGTCCCAGTCCAGTTTTTTCCTCCATTTTTAGGATGGAGGAAAAAACTGCATTTCCAGACCTGTGTTAGGTCGGGTATAAGTGGGCATGTGTTGGTTTACATCAGATTACCCCTGATCCATCAGGATCAGGTCCACCAAAAGTTTGGTTTTCTGGACCTGTATAGAGTCATGGGTAATCACATGTCCATTTAGATTTAGGTGCCCATAAATTAGCATTGTGCTTCCGACCTGATCTGCCTAAAAACTTTGGCAGGTGGACCTGATCTGAAAGAGTCCTATGTTGATATTTTTGAACACCATTTCAAAATGTTCTGATGAACATCAGTAAACACACCTTTGAAGATGTTCAGTATACCTGTTTTGTAGGTTATACAAAAGTGCCACCAGCAAATGTAAGCATTCCTTCTCTTTCAGTAATATATGGTCAACATTTGAGAACACTTAGATCACTGCTGTTTGGCATCTATAAGAATAGACCGAACAGCAGCGAGTAGTCTGCCGGAGGTTCGGCTCAGCCGATCCAGATGTCGAACTCCTTCTGCACTTCTGCTTCTGCTGAGCATGTTCGGCTGATCCGAAGCCACACGAAGCAAGCCGATGTACTGCTGATTTCAGCCGATGTACGGCTGAAATCAGCCGTACCAGCCTGAAGTGAATAGCCGAACAGTGTTCGGCTCACTTCACTTCTGATCGGTCATTCACTCGGCTGCCCTCGGCAGCTTTGTGTATAGACCCTTTAGGGATAATGCACTCATATTGACCTGTATGGAAAATTACAAACTAAGTAGCATGACACATGGAAAAATCAACAATAAATGCAAGTAAATACTATGCCATGTAACTCAATTTATAAAGCAAACAGTGCATTGCACACATTAGAAGCACTGAGGTGTATTCTAAGTAATGCTCAAAAACATGAAAATAGAACAGAAAGCTACACTACTACTGTATGATACAGTTGCACACTTTTTACACTTTTGTACCTATTTCAGTCACTATGATATCTCTAATGCAAACTCTATAGCAGTGTTATTTTTTAATAATGCAGTTTGTACATGTATTGTAATTATGTTAACAACTGTACTCATTACTCTCAGTGTTATTTGATAACCATTTTTTCAGACTTATAATGTAACCATTACTTTTTTTTTTTCAAACAGATGACGGAGGGTCGGCGATGTCAAGTCCACCTCCTAGATGACAGGAAGTTGGAACTTCTTGTACAGGTAAACAAACCTCTAATATACATGATATGTTTGATATTAAGGGAAACTTACCAAGCCTTTACGTATTCATATATAAGGTGTGTTGCACCAATGCAGAGCTAAAAGTATATTATATCATTATTAAGAACCTTACAAACATCAAGCTTTTTCAGGACATGTATATAAAGGGATAAGGTCACCATAATTTGCTGCCTAATTGGCATTTCCTGGACAATGTCAAACTTCAGTTAAATGGCATTCCTTGCATATACGTGAACTGGGTGGACAGGAAAAATAAGGTCTGGTAGAAGGAAGGCTGACTAAAGACATGAATGAACACATTTGAGACAAAGTTGAATTCCAGGAAGTGTGCACTCATTGTGACTTTTACACATGGTGTGAAATATTTTCAGTATTCATTTTACAAAAGACAGAGTTATATATGGCTGAAACCTAGATGAGCACATACAATCACATACTTTTTGAATCAGTATTAATTACTGAATGTCATTACAATATGTAATGATATAACGCAACCTAATGTAATATTTTCATAGGATGCACTTATCAAGTGTAAATAAGCAAGTGCACATTGCTACACTTTGAAAGTGTAAATTTAAAAGTGTAAAAAAAAATTTTTTTTGTAACACAAATAATACATTTCCTCACCAAACACTAACAATGTAACATTAAACCTAAAGAGTGCATAAACAAATACATTGAAACTTGTCCTAAATGTGGTGATGCTTATAATTCAGCCTAGGAGTATATACCAGAATTGTTTCTGCTGTAAAAGTTCAGCCTCAGTTTACAAGTATTCTTAAAGCCTTAAAAGGGAAAAAAACGATAGGTATGAAGTAATTGCTGTCATGGGGCATGTCGGATCCTCTTTGTCACTAGAGGGTAACAGGCTGCTAGAGCGAGCAGGACCAGCTGCTTGCTCTAGAATTGCAAAGCAGGAACTGAGTCAGACAAGTTGGAGGTCAGGGCAGGCAGGTGTGAATGGGGGAACAAGTGGAAACTCAGGCAGAAAGCAAAAGCATTGACTTTGGATAGTCAGAGCCTAAGCTGAAAATGTAAAACTGAACGTTAGTAAAATATTTTGGGGGGATAAAGCACTAAACACATTAGATGTTTGTAATGGTGTGTATCCCCTTAGCTGCTGCTTGTAAAACTATACTTCCACTGCCCCTCTCAGCCATCGCATATTACACTGTATCCCCTACAAAATATTTTACTAAACTTCAGCTTTAACTGGAAACAAGAGAGCAGCTAGACAGGTAGTAACTCACCTTTATTCAGGTGCTGACTGTTAATATGCAGCTGCAGTTGACTACATGCATAGTTATTAATATGTGTACCCTAATCCAGCTCTGGATGGAACTGCAGAGTAACTTTTACAAACTTAGGGCAAGATTTAGTCTTTCATTCTTGAAAAGGCATTTTGTAATATGTTTTTAACACATCTTTATATGTTTTCTGGCACGTTTCATTTATTTTCCATACACCTTTGCATTCGGTAAGGCTGTCTACTGTAACCCTAATTTCTGTTTTGTTTCTTTGGGTTACTATATGAACGTAAACTTTATGAAATTGTTAATATGTCCCTGTACTGCAATGTAAGCTTTAAAAACAAAAGTCCTGCCTAAGAGCAGAGACCACAACATTTCTTTACTTTCAGACAGAAATTATTTACTTTGTTACCGGATCCTGCCTTTCCTTGAAAGCATGTATAACCCACCACATTGGAAATAAAATATTTAGAACACATGAGAATGGGGCTCTCAGGGTTCAAAGGTGCAGTTTTCACGAGAAATAGAGTTTTTATAGGGCCTTGTATGTTTTTTTAAAAACAGTGTGGTAACAGGTTGGCTTTTTAAGCAGATAGACAATTAAATTATTTCTGTAAAAGCTGAGGACAAAATGGAATACAGATGGGTTTAATATTTGTTCTTTCTTCAAATTAAAATTTGTGACTAGAAATACTTTACTTTTGAAGGAAGCCTATGCTAAAAGCAATATGTTGGATTCCATTGCTGGCCTCCTTCCAAAAATGCTACTTGCCTGCATGGCTCTGGTTTCTATACTTGTTTGAGTCACTAATATGAAGCAAGCATATAGCCAGTCAGGGCAGTAGGAAGTAAAGCTGTAGTGACACCATACGTATTTTCTCAGTATAATTTTTTTTTAATGCTTCCATATGAATTTCAGGGTGGAAAACCAACAGGCCTTTATTGGGCTTAGGTATAAATAGTGTGCTATCAAGAACATTTCTCGATGCTGAAACCACTTGGTACCCTTGTTTGAATTTCAATTCTGCATTGCAGTTTGAAGCTGATTAGTTGGGGGTAACAAGTAAGGGTAACAAGAAATGTTCTTGTTAGCACTTTTTCTGTGCATAAGATCCTTAAAATAAACATTTGTAAAATACTAAGTTTCGAAACTCTTGGTATACTACAAAGTTGTTGCATCTGTATGTAGCTCTAGCCAAACACAGAACAGAATATTGTTTGCAAATCATTCTTGTTTAAATGAAGAGCAGCTATGTTTACAGCATGGTTGCTGCACCCATTTCCTTTTACAAACAGATGTCCTGTTACTTCTGTGTACAAATGTAAAGTATCCTTAGCGGTAATGCACTCCCCACTTTTAATCCCCTATTTAATTGTTCTAGTCTAAATGTGTTTAATACATCTGGGATGAGTTTAATGTACTTAATAAATGCCAGTTAGTCTAATTATTGTCAAATACTGTTATGCTTTTCGTATTTTTAAATTGCCATTTTTAGAACCATCATTTCTTCTCTGCTACTGTTATAGAAAAAAAAATATCTATTTTTTACTGGGAATGATTATTGTTTGCTACTTTGGGGCGCAAAGTCCCAAAGTGTTATGGAAATATCCAGCAAGCTTATCGTAGCTCATGATCATCAATGTCCACCAATTTTGGCAATTCAGAAAAATGTCAGGACTGTTGTCATTTTTTTTTTCATTTGCTTTAGAGCAATAGTGCTCAACTTAGCTGATATAGGGGGCTTCAAGTGTGGAGCTGACATTATCAAAGGACCCCACATAATATTCAGTGAAGGTATTGCTACACGAAGTTGTCAGAGACTGCAGACGTGCAACAGGAGATGGTCAGAGACTACAAACATGCTATGGAGGTTGTTGGAAAATGAGGACATGCTTCAGGAGACAGTTATAGACAGGCAACATGTTACATGAGGCTGCTAGAGACCATATCTATTACAGCCCCTTCACAGGTCAACACCTCCACATCAGCATGCCTTTTCCTTAGCTCTGCTGAGAAAAACTGTAACTATAATTTTGTCTTTTTATTATATTTTTTCCTTCATTTAAGAAGAAACATATATTTTTTCTTCAGTGATGTCCGTCAAGATTTTGAGAAACATTGTTTGAGCTTGTCTATACCCAGAAATAGCCCTTCACAACACTTTTAGAGGTTACACCCGAACCCAGCTGGACTGAGGAACGTGGGGTCTATAAGGTGACCTTCAGACACCTGGCTCTGCATCGTAGTGCTTTTCAGACCTCTGTGTACTTTGTTAGTTAGTAGCAGAGCCCTTTCCAGGTCCAGAGCTGTGGCATAGCCTCTGATGTGACCCAGTGTCTGAAGACTCATGCTGTAAGTAAGGCCATCCGGGCTGAAGTAGATCGGCATTATGAAGTCGTATCTGGGTCCCACTGGACTAAAAGATGTGGAGCTTTCCTGGAATGTGACCTTCGGCACTGGGTTCTGCATTGTGACACTTTCCAGATGTTTGTGTACTGTGTTAGTTAGCCACAGAGCTCTCTCAAGTTCAGAGCCATTGTATAGCTTCTGGTGTGACCCAGTCTCTGAAGATTCACTGTCTCTGAAGGCTCAACTAGTAAGCAGGGCCAGTAGGTCTAAATCACTGAGAGTTACCTCACCTTTGGTACAACTGGGCACCATTTTTAAAATTACTTGCTTACACCATCTTCAGTGCGGTAAGGCTTAAGGCTGAGGGGCTTAGCTCTGATGTCATTTGCTAGGTAGAGTGCTGCACACATAGCATGTTCTCTTTTCTGCCTTTTGGCCTAGAGGAAGCGCATCCCACTGCTGCTCCTGCTCCTGAAGCATCAGGTAGATCTCTGGTCTCCAGTATAATTCCATTGCCCATCTACACAGACTTGGCTATTTCCATCTGCCTAAAACAATCCTCAGCACTGCTACCCAGTTATGTGAGTACTTAAGGGCTTGCCTCAATTTGGACCTAGTTGCTGATCTCATGTGGCACAACATGTATTCTTAAAGACACACTGAGGACAGTCCCACTACTATGGGTAACCTCAGCCTGCACTTCCCTAATGCTTCTGGAGACATTTTCCCGGTATCCCTAAATGAAACCAACCTCTGTGATCTGGTTATGGGTCTTCATTTATGGAGTTTATTTCAGCTCCGCCGGGCAGGGCCAAGGCCTTTCCCATGTCCACAGGGAACTTCCTAGCTGTTCGTGCCCAGCTAGTGAATCATTCTTTTTATAGGGGTTTCAAGCATGCTCCGACACCTGCATCGGCTGAATCTGCCTCTGACCCTCCTGTTACAGTGAGCCAGACCAGTCTGCTGTTTCTGTTTGTCATTTCTGATTCAGTATCCCAACAGTTGGGAGAGGCTGTTTTTGAGTCACCACAGTCTCCTGCTGTAGGTCATTTAGAGCTCCTGCATCTGCAAAGACCTTTCTGCTACACTGGCTGTTGATGATTTCCTTTATGCTTAATGAAAACATCCTGAAAGGTCCTAAACCCCAGTTTCAGTTAGCTGGTTTGTTCTCCGATCCTGTGTTGGTGGAGTGGTTGAAGTAGATTTCTAGAGTCTTGAACTTCAGTCATGATGGTTTATCACTAGCCTTTGAGCTTGTGCCCCACATAGGACTGATATCTATAAAAATGCACAGGGCAGTCTGACTATGTGTGTAGGATGCTGACGTTCAAAAAACAGCTGACTCAACTTTCCTTCAAGGGATGTTGTATCTTTGGACT